AAGCTAAAAAGGAAACAAAAACATCCTCTCCAGCAGCCAACACCCAGATAAGCAGGGATTAACACAGATAAATAATCAAGCAGGAAACAATACCTTAATCAAGGAACTACCAAGGAGAAATCCACACCCCCACCAACACTGGCAGGGCAAGCTACTGTATATAAAGAGGGAACAAACCCCACACTCACTAGCACTGATGTATGTATCAGGGTATTACGCTATTCGGGTAATGAAACGTCTGCAAGCAAACAACCAAGCTCAGAGAACACCAAAGACTCAACAGTTTATGCTTTAAAGTGCTATGAATAAGCATTCACTCATAGCTAAGATAAATGTGTAACTTAACAGATGGGTAACCCAACTTTCAATAGAATCTCATAACATGCTTGTTTCTTCCATCAGTAGAATATGATGGAATCTCCAGATCCCTATGCACCCTCATAAGTTTTTTCTGGAGAGTCTTCAAACTTCCAAAATAATTTTTGAGAGCATGCTGGATTCTACAGGGTGGAGGAAAGGAGGAGACAATCTTACTGAGCTAGCAGAAATATACTAACACAACATTGGATATCATCGGATATATCTGGCCAAGTTTTTAAAATGCTTGCAAGAAATGAGACAGGAGACACTTTCCCAATACTGCTAGCAGTAGTATGAGTTCTTCATTTTAACAACTTTCAGTTCTTAAGACTTCATGTTTGACTTTAAAAGTTATATATCTTCATATGAGCTCTTTTTATTTCAGAAAAAACACAGAGTTACTTCAGAACCAATCAATGATAACTCAAGGTCAGAAAAAGAAAGTAGTAATCAGATACTAGAGAAAGAGATGGGTGAAATGTATAATCAAAACTTGTTGCAATCAACCTGGCTATAAGTGCCATCATCATTGCATTCTGGGATGAATACTTGCTGGAACTCCTTGCGTGCTTGTTCCTGGGTATATTTCCTCTCTGCCACACATCGTGAAACATCTAAAGAAAGGAGATAAAATATTAAGTCCTGTGCAGATGAGAATATCACAACATTTGCATATGTTGCAGCAGCATTTTGCTGTTTACACTGGCTTCCAGTGGATTTCTTAGTCTAGCTCAAAGCTATGTGTGAATGGGGCTGAAAACAAAGTGACAAATTAAAGAACTCTCTAATTCTAAGCATGCCCCATGTACCACAAAATCATTCTTTAAAAATAAAAGCATCGGTTGAAGTCCAGTGCTTTGGAAGTCTGTCTATCTTCCCAGAAAAAAAAAAAAAGGATAAAAAATAATCCAAATAATAGAGCATCCTGGAAAATTAGAAGGGATGGTGGGAAGCAAATTCACACTATCACAGAACCTTGGCCATGAGCTCACAATATCTTCATAAATTTCAAAATGTGCATATCAGCTCAGAAACATCAATTGTGAATATTATTGGAATGAAATACTATGTTTTAAGTCAACCAAAAGCATTAGTTTCAGTACAAAGTAGAGCTCAGAGGAATTTGCATTCATATGTAAGTAATGATGAAAATGGATGATTTCAGAAATGTGATATGGCTGCTCTGTGTCAAGTTCCTAATTGAGTTCCCATGTGTAGATTGACTTAATTGGTATTTTAACAACTTGAATTTGTTTTCACAATATCATCAGAAGGAAGCAAAGGAATGAAACAAGGAATCTTAAAACCTTTGTTTTAGAAGAACCATCTTAAAAAAAAAGCCACACCTCAGAGAGCCTTCCTTCCAACTGACTTATTCAAGTAGGAAGCCCAACTGACAAAGATTAACTCTTTTTACAGGGGCACAAATGAGCCTACATACTATAAGTAGAAAGTGTGACAAAAGGTGCAAAAATGAAACCAACATTCTGGAAAAATGTGACAGAAATGGCAAAAATAGTCTCAGGTCTCTAAGTACATTGCTCTACACACATGGATAGATTGCTTGGGATATCACCAGAACCTCCAATGGGTGAAGCTAACCAAATACATTTTTAGAATCCCCCATGTGCCTTCTGGATAAAAAATGGAATGTGACACTTATAGTACAGTAAATTGTAGCTGTACTCTGATTTTTTTTTTAATATTTAGTTTTGTTAAATCTATAGTTTTCTTTGTAAGCTGTATCTCTTATAACCTGGGATACAGTTCTTAAAAGTGGGTTCACACAAATGTTTAAAGGCATTTTGTTCATGTATGGCTGAAAGCTCCAATATTTTGGGAAATCTGGCAAAAAGGGAAAAGCATTCAAATCATGACATCTGGAATTTCTCCAACCCCATTACCAAAACTAGCCACCCAAGGCATCTGTATATTCTGCATGATAAAATAATGCATTATGTCTGGTTTCCTCTTGTGTTGTGTCTCTGTATGTTTGTATATATGAGTACCCTGGGAAACACAGGTCCAGGTTGCAGACACTCTATTCTGGGTCACATGAATGAGGGTGGTGGCTTACAATGAAGCAGGCTATCAGCCCACCAGGAAGACCAGACTAAGAATCAACCCCACAGGAAGGCTAGGACTACTTTTATTGAGGGTGGCTGTAATACTAGAATCTTGCAAATCTGACTGTGCTGTGCTTCCTTCCCTTCTTATACCCATGTGAATTAGGGAGGTTTCTGTTTGGGCCGCTGACACATTGTTTCTGCTTGTTTCGGACTTAAGCCATGCTTTTCTTCTCATCACTTTGGAAACAGACCTGGCCTATCTCTGTCAAGGTCATCTTCCTTTACTCTCTCTAGTCAGCAGCATTCTGAACTGTGGACCAACTGTCTTTCCTATAAAGGTGCATTGGGGGATTTTGGCAGGGGGGGGTGTTTTTTCTCAGCAGTGGCCCTGATGTGGCCCACTTTTAGATTTGATATTTCTTTTGCCAGCTTTTCCCACCATATTAAATTTGATCCCTTTGTGTTCAGACAGAGATGAGCAGTCAGCCAGCCCCTTTATATAATTTCTTTCCAACATTTCACTGTGTTGAAAAGAATAAAAATGAACATTCAATGACAAATTTATGCTATCCAAAAAGCTGAACTTCCTATTTGCATTAGAAATACCTCTTGGTCTCAAAGAGAAAAAGATTTCCCAAATGAGGAATCTAATCCATTAAAACACATACCATAATCAGTTTTATTTTTACTATATCAGAGAATTCTTCCATTCACACCCAAAACTCTTGCTGTAGTCAATCTATGACTATGCTGTGGTTGTTAACAGCTAATATTATTTTAAAAATAAAGTGCAATGGTCAGCACAGCTTTTACACCATATGCCTTAGCCTAAATTCATACGTTTGCTTATACATTACTTACTGACATGTGGTTTTAATGAAGCAAGTGTTTTAACTGAAAATAAATCTCTCCTTTGGTGGACTTCTGTCTTCATTTTTAGTGCAGCGTGTGGTTTAAATGTCAAAAGGAAAAGCAATCTAAATTCCAACACATGAGGGTTATGATTATCTATATATTTGCTCAGGAGCAAATTCCAGTAAGATGCATTGGGATCTATTCTCCCATGGGATATATAACAGATTGCACCAAATATTTAGTGCTGATAGAATTATAAGCTGATCTTCTGTAGGAATTATCACCAAAGGAAGCCAGCTTTCCTCTTTACAGTATATCCAATATTTAGAGTGTATAAAAACCTGAATGTAACTTCAACCTCTATTATATGGCTTCTGAAATTGTTAAAACAATACATCTAACAGAATAGAAATACTGAAATAAATAAGACCAAGATTATCAAAGCATTGCTGTTTGGTCCACTGAGTCACATGGCTTTCAAATGCAGATGTTTATTGACAAAAGAAAAATATTGTTAATTTTTTAATTGAAACTATTTCTAATTTGCATTGGATTCATTTGGATTCCAGGGTAATGTTAGAATATGAATATGATTCATCATCTAAATATAAAGTAAAACACCAATTAAGTTAAACCAGCTGATCCAAAAAGCTTGCCTAAACCATATGCATCCATTCCTGGTCAGAATGATGTCAAGATGATGAATTGTGCATCATGGCATTAAGATGTAAGCTCCATCTTTTCATACATGCATCAATGTTGCATGCAAACAGATAAGCAATGGAATCTGCATTACAACATGCACAATTAAGACTGCCATTTTAACAATCAAGATAAACTGCTGGCTTTTTAAATTTTCCTATTGAAGTAGGAAAAAAATTCAGCTGGGAAGATGATAGGAGTCACTATGCACATAGTCACTAAGACCAAGTTAGGGCATGCTATATTCACCAGCTGTTTACCTTTTTTTTCTTATCTTCTGGCTTCATCAAGAGGAAATTGGAAGTTTTCGTTTCCAATCTTCAAGTAGTAGCAATTTGTTTTTATATCTGAACCTGGCTAACAGTGGTTAGTCCAGGTTAATATGTTTAGGAAAATAAGCCAACTTCAAGTCATGGTGTCTGGTGCTTATTTCTCAAAATTGTAGCTGACCAATTATAATCCTTACTTTTCACCCTCATTTAACAATGTGTTCAGCTGAAAATAATCCTGTATGTTGTAACAATAAAATAAATCAAGCTGCATTGAATTCTTCCTCATAATTTAGCATCAGGCTCCTAGAATGGATGTAAGAAATATGAAGATATAGTTCGCTACCGGACAGAGAAATGGGTGAGACTACCAAGGTTTGTTTGGGGGCATGGAAGGCACCCATCTTGTGCTGTTCTTGGACAAACAGGCTGGGAAATCATGTTGTAGCTTAGCTTTATGGGCTAGTTTGATGTTAGATATTTAACCCAGAGAATGCAGAAGTACAAATATGTCTTTTAAAAATCTTCATTTAATCACAAGAAAATTCCATGTACTGTACGACTGATTTAATTTCAGTGGGGCATAGTAAATAAACTGCATTGTAAAGAAGACCGCTGCATAATCAAGTACAAAATGATGCCCTGTCTGTTCAGTTATTTATATGATTAATGTAAATTCCTATTTAACAAATCAAAACAACATTTATCATTCAAGGAAGACTATTTAGAAAGTAGTCAATATGAAATGTTTGAAGTAAAATGTACCCTAAGGCAAGACGCAGATGCTTAGTTGCTCTTGAACCAAACACATGGAGATTTCTTTAAATCCATAAACAATTTGAACAGATGGTGCTAATCTGAAACACACAATCAATTCACACAATTTGGACCGTTCTGGGTTTCCTGCCTTTCCCTCGCCTCCATAGATCTTTCCCTTTCTCTCTCTTACTTCTTCAGAAGAATATTACTCAGATTCCCTCACCTCTATCTTGTGGCTGTTATCTATAAGTAAGACTATTACAGTTCCTTTTCACATCAAAAACGTGGAAGCTGTTAAGTTGGTGTTCATTTCTTTCTAAGAGATCATTACTATCAGAGCATTCTAGACTTCAGGCTTCCTTAGAAAGAGGGCCTGTCTACTAAATTAGTTTAAAAATGAAATCCTGACTAACAAATTCAGGATTCAAAAACGGTGGCTGGAGCGGGTTAAGATAAGACACTTTAAAAAAAAAAAAGCTTGTTATGAAATTTACACACTTTTCTGCTTATGTAAGCACTCAAGACAGTTCCAGCCACTTCTGCCAATTAAATTGCTTTCTTCCAACAGAAACCACAATCTGTCGACTGCTTCCACAATCTGCCATCAGAATAGAAAAAATATGCCAGCAAAAGAGGAAAAAGGAGGAGGGAGAGAGACAGCTAGTCAAGAGAGGAACCAAGTTATATTACAACCCAAAACCAACCAGATAAAGAAGATTTCCACAAGTTAGGCAAAGGAAAGCTATCCCTAAGTCATAGACATAGCTGCACTTTGTCTTGTTGAGGCACAGCAAAGACATGAGGACTTCAAGTCACTTTGGGGGCATTGCCATAATCAATGCCCCCAAAGCACATAGAAGCAAGGAGGTGCATTGTGTCTCACAGCTCTACACTGCCTTACTAAACAATTTTATTTATTCAACATATTTCTATGTCACTCCAATCAAAAGACACTCAGAG